AAGATACATTGCATATGAGTCTTCAGGTTATCATGATCACATCAATAATTCTGATTTCCTCAAGATTAGCATATATTATCCAGTAATGGATCATATGCTGTCAGAATTATCTTGCATGGGATAACCCTGCTGTGGAGGGTAACCCTGCTGTGGAGGGTAACCTTGCTGTGGTGGATAACTAGCATCATATCCTGACTGAGCGGGATAAGCACTGGTTGTTTGACTGGTCACTGCAGTACATGAAACATCACTAGCTCCTCCAACTACAGTTGTCTTTGTTGTACTCCTTCCGCCACGAGCAGCAGCACCAATTCCAACACCCAAACAACAACATATACATATTGGTATTGTTATTATGAGGACAATACATATGAAAACTGCTGCAACTACTCCTCCAACAATAGCAGCAATGTCACTGGCTATAAGATTTATTCAGTTATTTGTAATGCTATTTTAATATTTACCTGAAGAGTCAGCATATTGACAAGTGCTGAGTGTATTAGTGGATGTAGCATAGGAACTAAACTCTGTACAATAATTTAATTAAAAATATTCATTATTATCATAACCTACTACATCCCAAAGCCACATCTTCACTGTGTCTACAGTTATGATATTGTGAAGAAGGACAAGACTCACAATAAGCAAGACAAGTTGAACTGCTGCTGGTACAAATGACATTGTCCAACCAAATAGGTGAAGAGCTATACCCAGCACTATAACATAGCTTAAATCTGTATCATAATTTTGGGTTTTACTTACAGATTTCCAGTATATGTACTGTAATAACTGTATCCTAACTGACGGCAGGCAACTCTAGCATCAATTGAACCAAAGCTATCATCACATACTGTACCCCACTGTCCATTACAATATACTTCCAGTCTACCATAACTTGAATAAGTACCTTCTCGTAAACGAATCTGTCCAGAATAAGGATTATCCCAGATTCTAGTACTATCTGTGAAGGGAATTTTGATTAAATTTTGTTGCCTGCCGGATGGTATACTTACAGCATACTACATATGCATCATAACTGTTACTGACACAATAGGATTTAATAAATAGTGAAAGACTGCATTGCTCCAGTGTCAAATAGCTACTACTGGCACAGTTGACATCATCAATGATTGTAGCTGCATTATCAGTTCCATAGCTACACAAAAATAATGCAATCAAAACAATAATTAGAATGCAGTATATACATACCTTGATGTGCTACCAGCTCTACCATAACTTGATGCTCCATTATACCCCAACTGGTTACAAATGACACTAGCTTCAGTGCTAGCAAATGAACTATCATAACAAATATTGCCCCATCCAAGTATACTGCCAGAGGAACTGGTAGAGTAATAGATCTGAACTATTCCAGATGAATAAGTTGATGAGTAGATTCCACTTCTAACCAGTCGAACAAGTTCCACGATCTACGCAGATAAAATGTTTAAGTGCCAATTTAGCCCAGCTGAGTTGATCACTTCAAGTGCATGGATATTATAATTACTATCTGATGCATGCTGAATGGGCTA